TTCTAACATTTTGTCCCTTGTACAATAATATTTTGAGAAAGACAAGTAGATGTTTCTAACATTTTGTCCCTTGTACAATAATTTTTATGAGAAAGACAAGTAGATGTTTCTAACATTTTGTCCCTTGTACAATAATTTTTATGAGAAAGACAAGTAGATGTTTCTAACATTTTGTCCCTTGTGCAATAATTTGTTTGAGAAAGACAAGTAGATGTTTCTAACATTTTGTCCCTTGTACAATAATTTTTAAATTTTTAAGAGAAAGACAAGTAGATGTTTCTAACATTTTGTCCCTTGTGCAATAATTTGTTTCAGAAAGACAAGTAGATGTTTCTAACATTTTGTCCCTTGTACAATAATTTGTTTCAGAAAGACAAGTTGATGATTCTAACATTTTGTCCCTTGTGCAATAATTTGTTTGAGAAAGACAAGTAGATGTTTCTAACATTTTGTCACTTGTACAATAATGTTTTAATTTTTTTTCTAGAAATCACACACCTCTATAAGACTAAAATTCTTTAATCTGTCAAAACTTAACTGCTATACTTGACAGTTATAACAACTATCCATATCTAATGAAGTGTCTACTACTGGTAACTTGTGCTAGTAAATATAAATTAATGTTTTTATTGTTGTTTTGTTCATTTTGTTATTGTTTGATGAAGAGAACTTATGGAAAGTTAACAGCTATATTAGGTTTTTCATCTATAAACATAATTATGTATAGTACTATCTGATCATTAATGTATTTCTTGTTTTTGTACCTCATGATGTAGTTTAAAGATGTAGTTGTAATGTTCAACTTGTCATTTAAAAGTATTGAATATTTTATCATGTACAGGGTGTCTGAAAATATGGAACCATGCAGAACAAGTTTGTATTAACAGCAGGATTAACTCAACCATCTCATGCTTTGACAGTGCCATAACCAGTCACATATCTGATATTAAGAAAAGCTGCAAATTGCTTATGGTTCCAGACTTTTCGTACACCCTGTAGTACCTTAGAGTCTGTTGTTGTATTTTTGTAGTGTACATGGTTTTTGTATTAAAAATATGCATTTTATTTTTCATTTATTTTAGGTTTTCAATGGATTTCATTGTTACCTTCACCCCTGCCTTTGTTTCAGCAAGGAAACTGCAAATATCAAATCAGAACCAAATAAGTTATGGAAACCTTCAGTTATTCCGAGGGAGTGGGAATTTGGAGCTTGGAGGCCCTTTTTCCTGACAGTATGATAAATGTGGATGAGTCAAACCTCAATAATCTCTTGGTAGATTCAGCTGTAGATTGTACCAAAACCATTGTTTCTCAAGTTTCAGATAACCGGAAGTCTGAACCTGAAGTTCGAAGTACACTCAGTCTGGAGGAAAATGGTATTACGTCTTACTTCTTCAATATCCCATTTTAAAACCTACTTGGTACGAAACTATAAACCTGTGAAGCAGCCTCAGTAACATTACTTGTTTGTCTTCAGAGACTTAGTTGAAGCTTAAGTTACAGTGAAATATTTTAAACCACAAATACACCAGTGTAGTGGAAACGTTTTCATGAGGTTCGAGCAAATAATTAAACTATCTTTATTCAAACTGACGGAAGCCTTATTGTTACCTAAAGCATCATCTGAGCAATTAATTACACTTCATAGATATTATTATATACATTGTGATACCTTTTAGAGTGAGAAAATATGAATATACATTAAAAAAAAATCTAATTATAGACCATTGATTCATATAAACTTACTGACTGACTGCTAGATGGGTTGTTTTTTTGCTCTCTTTGGTATTTTAATAGCTACACCAACCCTAACTCTCATTAGTCCTATGAATTTCATCCTTCGTTGCATGATTTCATGTTCATTGGCTCTGCAGTAAGTCAGCAGGCTTATAATGCTAAAAATTGGATTCTGTGGTGGGCATAGCACAGACAGCCCATTGTGTAGCTTTGTGCTGAACAACAAACATATAAAAACAGAAATCTTATCATAAAACAAATTCTTTTATCTGATAGTTTTTCTATATTGTCAGTCCTAGCTTGCATTGTGGCATCATCATAATGGTTATTTTGATATCACCAAATTATTGTAAATACAATAGGATAAGTAAAATTGATAAGGATTATGGGTTACTTGTTTAATGTCATTCACACTTTAGCAGCTGTTGTTCATGAAAACTGGTGATATATAGACACACATATGTATGTGCATTTATAGCGTCTAGACTACTACTATGCCTGACTTATCCCAACCAGTGTGATGAGCCCTCGTAATGACATAGCAGATGTAGCGTGATTGACATATTATAACATATACTTTGCTAAGGGTTCTACGGAAAGATTATTTACATACGTGTATTTTGTCTAAATAACAAGCTTAAAAGTGTTCCAATAGTTTTGTGTTTTTTCTCTATTCTCTAGAGATTATGGCCAAAAATATAAATTATATTTTTATACAAAAACTTGTAAGCTATGACATTCGAACTAAGAAATGTAAAAAATGAAATATTTGATTATAAATGTATAACGTTTTTTTTTCTAGGGTTATAAAACAAATTTTTATGTTTATGCTGGTATCAAGTTAGTGACTTAGAAATATTTCAACAAAAACTTTAATCCACTATATAATTAAATATAATAAGTATGTTTTTGTATATTTCAAAAGTAATAAGAAACAAATCAACTTATTTAAATGGATACTTTTATCAGTGTAATAAATCATTTGATTGTTAAAACATTACTATCTCATTTTAAAGACTTAGTTTATCTGTGAATTATTTAAACTTTACAGAACTCTTTTATACTTGAATTGTACAGAAAGTGTTATTTATGAAATAGTAAGCTCTACTAAGAATTACATATAATTTTTAATACATTGATCCATCACAATAAGATTTTAAGTATAGTGTCTTAGTTTCATAAATACTTACAATTTTTAAATATGTTATTTTTTGTTCTGTTTTTTACCTTCAAGATCTACAAGACTGGATGGATAAAAACGTGGACTTCTCCTTTACGGAAGGTCTGGAGCATCTTTTGACATCTTTTGTGGACAAAACAGACATCGATGACGTGGCCCTCATCACTTCCGATGAAGCACTTGATTCTCTGAAGAACTCTAATTCTTCAGACACTACAGACGGTTCAATAAATATTCCAACTAATATTATTGATGACTCTTTTAGTGTACACTCTCCACCACAATCACCCGTTGGAGAAGTACCAGACAGTTATAGTGTCCTCAGTTTTGTTAGCAGTAAAAGTGGTGTTTTATCGTCTACTGTTGATGAAAGTTCACCAGAGCTTTCAGTTGAAGTTTCACCTAACACCCAGAACACTTCCATTAGTTTTAAGGTTTGTGGTAAGGGTAAAAACATCCAAGTGATGAAGTCCATAATTTCATCATGTCCAACGAACACAGCTTCAACTGCTCGGTGGTTATTGGAAGAACTTAACAATTCTGATGCTCTTCCTGTTGATGATCCTGATAATTTTGAAATTGAGAATAAAGAAGTTTCAGGAGATAATCAGATGAAACAACACAGTTATAAACCATACAGCTTTACACACCATCTCTGTGAGAGGCCTTGCTCACGTATAAAATCTGTTGGTGGTTCTAGTAGCAAAGGGTTCTTTGCAGATAAACGAAAAGAACGTAAGAAGAAGCAAAATAAAGAAGCGGCAACCAGGTATCGCCACAAGAAGCAAGCTGAATATCAAGTTTTGGTTGAAAAAGAGAAGATTTTGGAAGAGTATAACCATGAACTAAAAGATAAGGTGCAACAGTTAACCAGTGAAATATCTTATTTAAAAGGTCTAATGAAAGAACTCTTTAAAGTAAAGAATTGGTAATAATGATACATTATAAACTGTAGTTTACCTTTTTTTTAGTGTTTAAGTTTGTTTACTTTTGAAGTGTTATAAAATTTAAAATTAATTTTTACGTTGAATTTTTGATATTATAATAGGTACTTAATTTTAGTTGACTGTATTATTTAAAATCCTAATGTTTATTATTTTCATCACTTACATGTAATCATAGGCACTGAATAAATGGAAGTTTAAAAATCACTGGCTCTGTCTTTTTTTTTCTCAAGAACTAATACATTATCACCAGATTTAAAAAATTCTGTTTACATACGGTTAAGTAAAGGAGTGTCAAATCATTACCTGTACATTGTGAGGGCCCCGGGATGCCCAGGTGGATAAGGCGCTCGACTCGCAATCTGAGGGTCGTGGGTTCGAATCCCCGTCCCACCAAACATGCACCCCCTTTCAAGTGGTTAGGGGTGTTTGACTCGCCCTCTGAGGGTCGCTGGTTCGAATCTCCGTCCCAGCAAACATGTTCGCCCTTTCAGCCGTGGGAGCGTTATAATGTTACAGCCAACCCCACTATCTGCTGGTAAAAGAGTAGCCCAAGAATTGGCGGTGGGTGGTGATGACTAGCTACTTTTCCTCTAGTCTTTTACTGCTAAATTAGGGACGGCTAATGCGGGTAGCCCTCGTGCAGCTTTGCGTGAAATTCGAAACAAACCAGCAAACATCTACACATAAGCTGCTCTGAAAAAAATATAGTATTCGGAAATAGTCTAAAGGTAATGGAAGGGGTATTAGTAAACACAGAGCTAATACGGTGTAGTACTGCTTTAGGCTCAAATAACTGCTGCTATGTTATGAGTAAAGAGTGCTCAGAGAACTCTAGTGCATTGACGTTTCAGAAGCTCAAAGAGTGGAAGGTTGTCATCTGGTTTTTCAAAATAATATCTTCATGATGTATCAGCCATATCCTAGGTTTAAGGTTGAAATTCAGATAGAGCCTTTCCTAATTTTGAATTCCTGATCAGAAAGAGATCAGGCAGTCAACAACAGCTGTTGCCTCAGGGAATTTGTTTACCTCGTTGAATCGAATAACGGATACTGATCCCAACGGAAAGCCTGGAGTCTTATATCGCTAATGATCTTGTTTTGATATTCCTGGTGAGCACGTCACAGATAGCCCTATGTGTAGTTTTGTAGTTAACAATAAAGAAACGAACAAATTAAGACTGGTATTGTTATAATGCTCCTAAAACTAAAGTGCATGACTGATTGACTGGCAACACAGCATGAATTTTGGACCTTTGGATCCGCAGGCCGGTACGCTAATCCACTAAACTATACATGGCTCAAAGTTAAGATCTGAGCTGGACATTGGAATCACTATTAAATACAGCTACAGGTCTAAATCGCTGGAAGGAAGAAAGAATTAGTTGTTCACATTGATAATTTTTCTTGTCATCTGTACCAAACCATTAGCATTTTGTATCTTTCCTTAGAGTGATTTCAACCTTTGTTTCTTTCAAGTCATTGTTTTCATGTTATCAAAAACTGATAAAATAAAATGAAAATAATCATGAAGAACTTCCATGGCTTATTCTCTGAAGTATCAATAAGCATAATAATAATTCTGAAAACGTGGGAATTATCTTTCAGAGAAACTCATGCCTTGTTCTCAGAGTCTATTGCACCATATCTCTAGACATTTCCACTGTTCCGTTGAGTTAATTGGCTCTTTCTCATTGTTCGTTTTCAGTATGTAGCATCTTAAGATATTTGATACAAGTTGCCTAGAAACCACAGACGTGAGCAAAGTTTCATATTGAGTAATTGCTCTAATTACATATATCATTATTTCGCAACTGGCGCTTTCTTCCTTTTGAGCTTTAAGGAGTGTAATTATTATAATAAAGCTCGTTTCCAATATTCTAGAAACGTTTAGACATTTGCATCTCTCATTTCAATGAGAATTTTTTTCTCATTCTCCATATGTGTTAAAAATTTCCTTGACAACTATTACTAATGTATCTGTACATTGCGCAACGACTTCTCGTTGTTCTTCGTAAATTTAATAAAACAAACATATCTCGTGACATTTTAATGGACAGTAATTTAGATAGGCTTAACGTTAACTTGGCACAATTCATCTAGATAGGCTTAACGTTAACGAAGAACAATTCATCTATATAGGCTTAACGTTAACGAAGAACAATTCATCTATATAGGCTTAAAGTTAACGTAGGACAATTCGTCTATATAGGCTTAACGTTAACGTGGGACAATTCATCTAGATAGGCTTAAAGTTAACCTGGCACAATTCATCTAGATAGGCTTAACGTTAACGTGGGACAATTCATCAAGATAGGCTTAACGTTAACCTGGCACAATTTCGTATTTTTACATCCAATGATGCCCCTGTAATATTCTCAAGTTCACTGATTTCTATTCGAGGAACCACAAAATAACAGGCTGCTCACCAGATAATACTTTTTGATCGTAAACCTGAATTCTCTGACATCGACCGGATTCGAAGAAAAGAAAGAGATGGGCACAATGTACAACACAGTGAAACTCTTCAACCAAGCAACAATACAAATTAAAAACAAGTATATTATATGGTACATGTACTGAAAAGCTCTTACGTTGTTCAAAGTAAATCAATATCTGAAAATAATTTCAAATACTCTTGTCAAAGACTGAGAAAACATGGCGTTATATACCAAATTATAACAATGCTATGCTTCTCAGGCCGCAGGCGCTACTAGCTCGACTAACGGTCACTTTTAGTTCAAAATAATTGACGTTATACTCTTGGGGCATCACTTGACTTATAGAGAAAAACAAATCATTGTCTCTTTCTATACAGTATGTACTACCAAGAGAAAGTTCATGTGACACTCTAACTGATTGACCTAGTTCGTGAGTAACTAGAGCGAAAGGAATTTAGTGGCTTACTTGACCGACATTCTATATTAAGACTACATACTTAATATATCGAGAGTTTTTGGAAACATATGGTATATGTTTGAATACCACACCACTAGTAGAGATGAACGTTGCAGCAGACTTGTATTTTCTCTTATTAATGTGAATGATTTTCAATAAGCACTGATGCAAGCTGTATTATAACTTTTGGCATGAGTTTTCGTAATAGATGCACACACTTTTGTACTCTTTCACAGTGAAAGAGCTTAGGCCTATCTAACTTTATAGGCAATCGGGCCTTTCTATCTTTTGGTGGGGTAGTTTGAAGATTGAAAGAGTACAAGGGTGTGTATAAACAAAAACTACACCAAGTTGTTCCTCACTCCTAGAGACATATAAAACTAATTAGGGTAATATTACATACCAGCGATCTTCCTCGGCCGATGAAAACTGATACAGTTTGAAACTGCTTAATTAAGATAATTATAGTAAACACTTTTTCGCCTTTTTTTTTTTTACTTCAAACTACACTATAATAGCTCTTATTTATTCTGGTCCTAAATAAAAGTCAGTAAACTGGGTGCAATCAGCTGATGAAAATGGCCTCACTTTCAACGAGAGTCAAGATTAGAACAGCTTAGTATTAGACTTTAGGTTGCTTGTAAAATATTGATCTGGGTTTAATTTTTGTTTAGTTTGAATTTATGCACAAAGCTACACAATGGGCTATCTCTGCTCTGCCCATCACGGGTATCGAAACCCGGTTTCTATCGTTGTAAGTCCGCAGACATACCGCTGTGCCACTGGGGGCCTAGGTTTAATATATTATAAAAAATGTTCGCGAAAATATTGATCTGGGTTTAATATATTGTAACAAGTCACTTGAGAAAATAACAACATGGGTTTCATATATTGCAAAATAGTTCCTCGTGAAAATAATTGTCTGTGTTTAGTCTATTTCAACGTGTTATTCATACTAATATTTCAGTATAATTCAACATCTTATTCATAACAATATTTTGCAATATCTCAACATGTTATTGGTAACAATACTTCACTATATTTCGACATACTATTTATAACAATATTTGCTATATTGAAACATGTTATTGATAACAGTATTTCACTATATTTCAACACGTTATTTATAACATTATTTGACTCTATTGAAACATCTTATTTATAACAACATTTTGCTATATTGAAACATGTTATTTATAACAATATTTGACTACATTTCAACATGTTATTTATAACAATATTTTGCTATATTGAAACATGTTATTTATAACAATATTTTGCTATATTGAAACATGTTATTTATAACAATATTAGACTATATTGAAACATGTTATTTATAACAATATTTTGCTATATTGAAACATGTTATTTATAACAATATTTGACTATATTTCGACCCACTATCTCAAGTTACTTTTTGGAATTCAATCAGTTCTACAATGTGTGAAGAAAACTCGTCTCTTGACTATTTTTGAATTATTATTTTTTTGTATGTATACACCAGAGAACAGTTCATATTAACCAGTGTTGTTACCAAAGAACAAGTTTGATCAAACTTCATCGTAACACTAATCTAATGTTGAGCAAGTGAACAAAAACGAACCGTTAATATCTGAAGAGTTATGTATCGATACGGGCTGGCAAGCACGTAACATATCAGCATATCAATAGTAGCTAACAAGTGAACAAATAGAGAAAAGAAAATATATTTATTCTTAATCTGTTTTGGTGTGCTTATGTACCACGAAATGTTATTATCGAAAAATATCAGCATGAAAGATTTAAGTAAATAAGCTTTTATCATCCGGTCGTTTGGTCTGACAGTTGCTTCCATTGTCGGGATACACAGTTGCTTTTTTATATATTCTAGGACAGAACAAGTTTATCGATTCTTCTTTGTTGCACAAAAACAGTTTACAATAGACTGGAATACATCAATAAATTGAAGACTGGCGGATAAGAATTTAAAAAGAGAATTCAATGAAGTCTTCTTGTAAAATATATAAAAGAGACGAGTTTTTCTTCGACTGTAATTTCAACCCTCTAGGTTTATAGTTTGTATTTGTTTTTTAATCGAGTGACAGGGGGATCTAATATTTCAACAACAAATTTCGTGAAGCTCAAAGAAAACCTTTTAGTATCTTACGAAAATCAAATACATATTCCTTCAATATGATGATCGAGAATACTGAATCCAATTCATATTTCTATAGAATCGAATAAGAAACCAGAAATACAAGATTCCATTACGTAACTGATAAAATAATTTAATGAACGAAGTTTTACTTAAATTGAAACCTCTT